GATGGCTAGAGCTGGTAAGGCAAAGTATACGTGTAGCTCTGTCGAGAGCTAATGCTGGTTACACCACATACTGCCTGCCTCAGGCTGAAACAGGTTTGAACTAGAGCTTAAAAACTAGGTCCCAATGTATCATCAGTACTTGACCCATACAGGTTTTTTGATTAAGGCTCCCCGTGAGACCTGGGGTTGACATTTACTGCTTGCATAACTCTAGTTCTGTAAAGATCTCTGTCTGTCCCTGTGCATGCAAGACACCTCTGGGCAGTAAAACTTCTTGCTTAATTGTTCTTCCAGTCACTGGATTATCTACTGCCCTCGAGCAGCCTCTAAAGCTCCAGACTAGCATTAAATGGCAACCACTAGATTACCTCCTTTCATTCTTTCCCCTTCCAAGGCTGCTCAATTTCAGAAGGAAGAGTCAGGCCCTGCAGAGCTCAGAAGGTAGAAGGGCTTTATGTGTGTTTTGCTATTGTATGGTGGTGACTGCTGGTGGGACCTGAAAATCTTGCCACCAGTTCTTTTTATAGTTTAGTTTGCAGGCTATAATTTCTTGGCAGAGAGGATGGCCATCAGTCTGTTTTTATCTCTCTGGCATGATGAGTCATCAAAAATGATTATATTAATTAGATAACTAATCTCCCTTGGTGGCAAATGGTGCAAGTTCCCCAGTTTGCCAAGGGTTTGTTCCATGCTAGGCTGGATTGATGGGTGCTAGTTAGTTGTTATGGATGGCTAAGCTGCTTATGATATTTCTGTGCGTGCAGAGAAATTAACTGGGCATACGAAGTAACTCTTTACTGAGGTATTGGATCCTTACATCCCAATTGGGAAGTAATTCTGCTTCTGAAGATTTAACATACCCTATTAGCTGCCAGCATGGACTCCAGCTATGCAGTTGCAGTACCACTGGAGATGCCTGTGCTGTGGGACATGCAAGCTTTCAAGGTGGCTGGATGCAGGTAATTCCCACTAGACTGTTTTGTAAATGGCTTAAATATGGTAGGCAGAGAAGCAGCAAGCTCTTCATTTTGATACCTTTCCACTGTCTTTAGGAAAAAAGCTGCTGAAACACTGCCTTGAAAACTAATGGTTGAAGGAGGTCAGAGAAGAGGCCAGAGTGCTTTCCCTGTGCTTCCTACTGGCCTCTGTGCTGCCATCACCTTATAAGGAGCTTCTCTGATCCTCATCTTGCTAATAAAAGTGTAGGGTGGTAGACTGAACGGTGGGTAAAAGCTATTTAGAGAGAGTTTTTACTTGGCATTTGCTTGCAGTGATCTTGCGTGGTGTAAGGAGAGGAATTCCACTAACACGCCCTTGGTTTGCGCAATGGCACAGGCAAGGAGGACAATATAATCCAAGGCCTATAAATATCTTCCATGTTCACATCTTCAGAAGACATTAATGGAGCCCTTGCTGACGGCTGTTTACATGACACGTAACTGGCTGGAGAAGAGCCCATTTCAAACCTAGCAACTTGTATAGTGTTTGACAGCAAAGGGATCAGTGGAATGGGCATGCCGTGGAGAACGTGTGCTGTACTCATCAGGGATTTCTCTCCCTTCAGGCAAGGAGGAATTGTTTAAAAGTCCTGCTTTAAATACTGGCTTCGTTACTCTATCTGCAGTGCCTGAAGGAGTTGGAAAGCTACACAGTGACTGAGTTGCCTGCACTAGTCTTGAACTTCATAGCACCTCAAGTTTCAAACCAAGCCTTGTATTCCCCCCCTCTTGGATAGACTGGCAAGAGGAGGGAAAGGCTCATAAGCACAAGGAAGGAAAGGGAAAGACCAAAAAATAAGAAATGCTATGTTATGAAAACTCCACAAAAATAACTTGGATGCTATAGCCAAGCTGCTCCTCTGCAGTAATTCAGTGCTGTTCTCCATGAGTGTTCCCACCCATCTGTCAAGCTTTGAAGGACTTAAGGACTTTCGAGCCTAGAAAGAGCTTAAATAGTCTACAATGTCCCTTGATTTTAACAAAGCCTAAATGTGGAGCCATAGCTTGTCCCTATAATAAGAGAGACATGAAATAAACAATAGCAGAGGTGGAAGCTATGAATGACACAAGAGGTGTAGCATGTTCTGAGGTGAATTCTGGAGAAGCTTCTCCACATTTCCAGCCAGGCTTGTAGGAACAGTGTCACTCTATGTATGGTTAAATGGCCCATAACTCTTGTTCCCCAAACAAAGGTTGCCTTCATATGGACAAAGCATTAAGGCATAATAAGGACAGCAAGTTAAAAGAACAGTTTCCAGATCTAAATCTGAATTTCATTGTTGTATGAAGTTTGTGTTGGAATTTAAGATGATGGAAAAACTGATTCTAACCTTTTCTGTTTGATTAAAAATCCCTCTGAACTCCAGCATACTGGCTAAATTCCAGCTCCCAGAATTAATTGCCTTTTGCTAAGTTACACACCTCCTGTGAAATCTTATTCAGGGAACTTAGTGTAATTACTATCCTTCCCTTCAAATAAATGGTTGTATAGCACTGTTGATCCAATCTGCCTGTCATGCTCCACAGTAGAGAGAATTTAATTTTCAAAAAAACTCATATATTAGCTCATATAGCATGGAGGTACAGACTTTTATTCTCTAGATCCTTCCCAGAAAGAGAGAAGACCAAACGAAGTTCCTACTTGGAGGGGGGGAAAAAAAAAGGTCTTTTTGTTCTTCTGGCCTTGTGGAAGTTCTTCTGTGTGAGGATGGGTAGGGAGGGACATGAGAGGATCAGAGAAGTGAGTGATAGTGGTATGTTCACATGACAAAATCCCCCACCCACAGACATGGGCAAATGAATAGATTCCTCTGTATAACCTCCTGGGGAAACCTTGTTCAGTAATTGAGAACTGCTCTTGGAAAAAGGAAGCACTGTTGGACACAGATAACGGCCTTTGGGAGTGTGGCTCTGTGAACTGGCAAGGACATACACCGGCTGTAGGGCTGTGTGCAGCGCCCCAGGTTCTGGTGGGCTTGGAAAAGCGTGTCCTTGTCACAGATGTGAGAAACAATGCAGGTGGCTGGGATTGCCCATAGAGTCATAACTGTGACGGGAAGAGGGAAAAAAAGAGGTGTATGCATAGGCAGCTGCTTTCTGGGAAGGGGATGGAGAAATAGACACCTTCTCACAGCCCTAGTGGAGAGACAGGATTCCATGTATTTTTGTATAGAGAACCTTAGGGCGCTTGAGGTTTGGCGTGGATTTTTCGGTGCTTGTTTTTGTGTGGTTTTTTTTTTTTGGTTTTTTTTGTTTTTTTTGTTTTTTTTTTGTGTGTTTTGATTTTCTGAAGAGCTTAGCGAAAGTAAAACGTGCTGGATGAATTTACCCGACTAAAGAGGACTATTCATAAACCGCCTCACTGGAATCACAGCCTCTCTAGTTGCTGTCCTGTTCCCTCTGTAACAGGGTTACTTCGCCTCCTGCCTTGTTGCTAAACCCCAGTGCAATCGTGTTAAGTAACTGCGTGTTTGTCAGTAAAACGCTTGTGTTGTTTTTTCCCCTCCAACATGAGTGGGGAAGCTGCACTGACAGTGCCAAGTGGTTTCCGAGCGAGTGTTGAAAGCAAACTCCCACGCTGCAGTGCCGCAGTGGTGCTTTGTGCACTTGACCTGTGCTGGCAGAGCTCTTCGTGCCACTGTCCTGCTGGCACTTCTGAGCGAATCCTGCTGAAACATCCTGGAGAGGCTGGCACAGGGATGAAGAGCAGGAACCTCTGCATGATGTGCAGAGCAGAGGCAGGAGCTGTGGCACGTGCTGGCACACCTTCACCAGTGTGTGGGGGTAACTGCTGCTACCAGCAACACAGAAAATCTGTTTCCTGTGTAACAGTGAGCCCTTTTTTGAGATTAGGGTAAAACACAACGGCAGTCAACGCACTGAAAACTCATCTACTGCATGTGCTTTAACAACAGGCTAGTGGTTTGGGTTCTGAACTCATATGCACAATCAGGGACAAAAGGCTTTGTGCCCTGAAAGCTGTTTGATTCCTCTTACAATATTTGGCCTATGTGAGCATCTTCCTATCCTGGAAGAAAGACTAACAGACCTCGCCTTCTCTCATGCCCTTTGAGAGCAACAGTAATCTTCTGCTTTTTAAGAAGCTGTTCAATTTCAGCGTGACATGATTGGCACAAGCATTGTGCTGTGGCCATCAGAAAGTCACGCCCAATAGAGATAAGGCTGATTCAGGGTGCTCTGTTCAGCCTCAACCTTGTGCCTCTACTGGAGTCAGAGGGATGCAAATTCCACACAAAGACCTGGACAGCATTTGCCGACGTGTGCACTGTAATGACAGTTAAACTGGAGGTTACTGGGTAGTCGAACTGGAGTGACATCGAGTTTGCTGACTTTTCCTTCAATTTCCATTTACTGCCTTTGCTCTCCACCCTACGATTTCCTCTCACCCCTCTCTCATCCTGTACAGCTGCTAAATGGAAACTCCGCCAACCACTACAGCTCACGCCCTCTTTCCAATCCTTCCCCAGTAATATCCTAACTTCTCTCACTGTCTTAGTGCCTCTCACTATCCCACTCTGGGGATAGCTATCATTGTAATGAACGTGTAAAGAAAGGGCAATGAAGACAGAAGTAAAATTAGAGCCAGCAAGATGTAAGATTAAGGTTTTTTGTGTCCTTTCCAGATCTTGATAAATCTGTAGCATTCTCATCTGTAAGTGGCAGGAAGAAACTCTTTCAATATATACCTTTTCTGCTGAAATTTGGCTGTTATCTCTCCCCTACATTGAACAAGGTGGACTGTGGATAAATTCCACTTGCTTTGGCACGTATGGAGATTGTGGTGTGATGCCAAAAGGGAAGGAAGATGTTGCAGTTGTCAACCAGGCACTCAGCAGTGCACACCCGTGTCCAGCTGGGCTGATCTGTGCATGTACATTTGGGAATGTGTTAAGGATAATTTCCTCATTCTGTTGCACATGGAAACAAGTTTTTTTCTTTTCAGCTGCATTTCCTTTTGCTATGTAAAGAAATAGACAGATCTGGCCTTTCTTTTTTAATAATGTTTTAGGACCAGGGTACAAAAAAGGTTAATGCATTAATTTTTAAGACAAGTGATAAATGTACTGCAATAAGCACATCCTACATACACAGAATATATTTCTCTATATAATATGAACACAAGAGATATAAAATAAGTTATACTTATCTTGGTATTTCATCACAGTAGGAGCTCAGCTTATATAAAGTGACAATAGGAATTGTAACAACACACTGCTCCAAAGCAACAACAAAAACCAGAAGAGTGTGCGCGCGTGTGTGTGTTTAGGAAATGAAATAGGAAATTGAGGGATTTCTGCTAAAATTGGGTCTTGAAAACAAAAATTTCATAGAGCATGAAAGAAGCAGGGAAGTTCTCATGGCTCAGGGTAGAGGTTCTGGAGGGGATCAAGTGTTACTGCGTGGTGAGGAGAATGTGTGAAGGCTGACATCTTGGCTAGATTTGTGGAGGCACAGGCAGCAGAGCAAGCTCTGCCCACTGCCCCTCTGTGTTCTCTGCTCTTGTGATGGCCCATCCACCTGACAGTGCGGGGTTTGTATCTTTACAGTAGGAATGGGGCCTGGTAGCTTTCAGTGTGCACAATGAGAGTAAACACGTCACTTCACAGGGATAACAGACACCACCGTTGTTCAAAGAGGAAACACTATCCACTGGTTGTGAAATGTTCAGTGAGCCTGGGAGCAGTGTTCCTCCCTTCCAACCCACCTGATCTCCACCCCTAGTGCCCCATCCCTGTTTCCCTTGGAGGTTGGTTCTCTTGGCCATGCCTGCAGAACAAATCTCCCCTGGGGATGGAATGGGAGGTAGTGACGATTGGGAACTCTGAGTGCCTGTCCCACAGTGAACAATGAGGAACTCCAGCTACCCAGTTTAGAGCTCTTTCAGATTTTATTTATATATTTTTCTTTAAGGACAGGGGAATGTTGGAAAATTTGCATCTAACAGTGAATCAAGGTTCTTAAAATTCTTAACTCTGGGGTTTAGTATCTAGTATTTTAGTGTGGGCTTACATTAATTAGGAAGCGCTCTTTAGTTTGGCCAATAGCTCAAAGACCTTGTGGTTTCTCTTCAAGATTTCAGTCTCCTGAAGTTTGCGCAACCCATTAAAAGGCAGCAGGTGCAGCCAAAGCTCAGGAGTGATACTGGCATGTAGCAGATTTCTATTAGTGCCTATTCCACTCTCATAAAATGCAGCCCACTTCAGGTTTTCTTCTACTCCTGCTTAAGAGAGTCTCCTACTCGCAATGTCCTTTCTTTACCTTCATATTTACAGACTACACATTAGAAAGCAGGGACAGTACACTGGAAGAGTTAATTGCATATTATCATGAAGGATTGGACTTTTTTGTTCTGCTTTAGATTTTGTTCTTCATACAGCAAAGTAGGTATAAATCCAAACGTGATCTCACATCTAAAGGTATAATTTAAGTAAACATGTTTTTCTAGATCTTTTTTTCCCCCTTCCCTTTCCCTCTCCCCTGTAACATTGCTTTCACTCTGTTATTTTCCTTTTGGATGGAGGGAGGAGATGGGAAGGGAGCTCATTTGGCAGCTCATGACCCTCCAACTTGACTTTAATGAGATGATTCGCCAAGGCAAACTCCTCATCATCCAGCATGCCATCTTTGTCGATGTCAGCCAGTTTCCATATCTTGCCCAGCACCGTGTTGGGCAGCTTAGACCTTACCATCTCCTTCTTTGCATTGGCACCAGTTATTTTACCATCGACAGGTGAGAGTGTGTAGAAGATCTCGTCATACATGGGCTTGTCCCTGGCCACCACCCACTCGGCATCGTCAATGCCTTCACCGGCGCCTTCGCCGTAGCCATGGCCGAAGGGACCGTGCAAGGTGCCCTCAAAGGCTCCTCCCTTCACCATCTGGGTTGGCCGCTGTGACTCCTCCTGGCGTACGAGCACCATGAGCTGGGCGATGTCGTTGGCCAGCATGTCTTCCACGGTCTCCAGCAGCTTGCTCTTCAGAGGCTGGAACTTGCTAAAATCCTGGGCTTGCAACTGATCCTTAAAATAGGACAACATAGCAAGAGATGAGCGACATGGCTGTGCACTGTGGAGTAATGGCGTAGAGTGGGATGCCTGCCTGCTGCTTGGCTCAAAAAAAGTGCTATTGCAGAGGAGTGGGGAGCTTGGCATTCCCTCTCTGACAGCCCCGTTCCTCAGCATGCGATGGGGTCTCCCTGACTGGCCTTGCTCTTACTTACATCCTTTTTTAAGTCCTACTGAAAATGACCTTCTCTTCTTACAAAGGGGGGCTGATGTGATACAGAGAGGGGAAGCAGTTTGCTCAAAAGCCCAAATGATGGACATATGCAAATAAGACTCCTCCTTTCCACGCCACACAGAAACAACCTCCTTGAAGACCAAATTGTTGAAGGCAAACTGGTTGCGCAGCTCTTGCTACATCCTCCAGCCAGTGTTCTGCACTCCTTCCCACTTCTGCACCCTGGGAAGGAGATGCCACTCTGGAAAAAGGCTATTATACTCATCATCATACAGTGCATCTTTCAGATGTCACAAAGACAGTAGCATGTCTGTAAGAGATGAGCACATCTTTACATGACTCAGATTCTGTAATTTTCACAGCTAAGCAAATGTGCTTTGAGTAGGGCCTTCAGAGAACTCTCTTCTAACTGCAAAATGACCTACAGCTTTATCCTTCACCCTCTACTCATTTAATCCACATTATTCGCTTCTAATGGATCGGTACAGTATTTATACGCTTAAGCCCACATTTTAACAAGCAGTGAATGATATCTCCTGTTGGATACACTCCATAGATCCCATTCCCAACAATTTATGAAAAATATACTTTAAAAAAGACAAAAAAGGCAAATGCTGTGTTTTTCATAGGTAACTAGTAGCAACCTCGACAGCTGGCAACTCAGAACAGGTTTCTGCTTGGACTGAAGCCACGCAGCAATGCAGCACTGTTCAGCATTGTTTGAATATACAATACAAGGCTCTAATCCAAGGTCCTTTGAAGTTTCTGACTTGCATGAACACTGGGTCAGGTCTCAGGTCTGCAGAACAGAAAGCCTGCCTCTCTGTTTAAAATAGAAAAGGGGCTTTAAGTTTTCACACCTTCATTTCTCTCTTTCTAGAAACAAAGCGTGAAGTAGAATACAAAAAAAAGTATAGTTCTTGGCGAGAGGGGTATATGTAGGCTTTTCAGGGCACAGCTTTCCTTTTAACATAAATTAACAGTATTCTTTGGCCTGAAAATTCTTCAAATTGACCTGGAATTAAAGAAAAATAGAAGAAACCATTTGCTGTAAAGTGCTATACAGGCAAAAATTTGAGAAATGAAGGCAGCTGCAGCTTCACATGAGCTCTGTGTGTGAGAAGTGCTCATGCCCAAATACAGCCTACACATATTTCAAAGCCCATTTCAACATTACAGCAGGCCTTTCCTTACAGGTGGCAACAATCAGCGTCTACGTGGCTCTGTTGTATTCCCTGTGGTTACTCTAATGCTTTTTCCTTGGATGTTTGGCCAAGATGCCCCTGCTTACCTGCATCTTTTTCAGATTAGGGAAGTCTCCTGGTGAGATCTGATGCTCCCGTTCAATTCGGGCATAAATATCTCCCAAGTTGTTAACAAGCTCTTTCTTTTTATTGTCTTTCCCAAACATTGAGGGCATTTCCTTCTTCAGGGAACTGATGATGTAGGCATGGACCTGAAGGGAGTTAAATTATATGGAATGAAGACAAGTGTAAAACAGCATATCAGAAAAATTCTTCTCAGCAGAGTATCTGTGCCCAGGACTCAAGTCCATCTTGTCCCACCCTGAAGAGCAAGCTCACCTCCTCAGCTTGCCTGTGCCTATGGATTGTTGCTCCAATGCTAAGTGCTGCTCAGCTGTGCACTCTGGCTGTGCTGAGACAAGGTGCAAACGCTGTGAGTCCTGGGCATACAGACAGTAACATTCAAATGCACTTCCTGGAAGAAGTGGTGGTGCGTGGTGGTGCTTTAATTTTTCGTCTTCCACTGGGCAGGGCCTTCCAGGGAATAGTTCCTTTCCAGTCCAAACCAAACATACAGGTTTTGGAGCTCTCTAGACTTTGTTTAATGTTTTAGTATGAATACCAGTCCCTAACTTATAAAACATTGTTTTGTTTTTTTTTTGAATGGTGAATCAATCATTTCCTCTTAGAAATGAAGACCCTTGAACAGAAAGCTTTATAGGGATCTTTTGATATCTTTTCTCAATTGGTGTAGGGCTCTTCCCTGTATTTTTAGGGGCTTCATTCTGCTCATTTCAAATTTTCAGACATACTGCAGGATTATTTATCATTTGTGTGAGTCTCTACCTCCTGCATCCATCTAAGCCAGGCATCTCTCTTGGGTAAGAAAGTTTAAAGCAAAAGACCCAGAGCTTAACAATTCCCTTGGTGTATGATTCTGATATACTGAATTGGTTCTAATTCTCAGGTTGTTACCACAGAGCAACTCTTTCTAGATCCCTTCCAGTGCTACCTGCTTTGATTTGTGGTCACCTTCCTTGCTCTGGCCTGCCATGATTGATGCACCAAGCAACGGAGGTGCTTTCTTCCTTGAAGTGCACAGGGCTAATATGCTGGACCCAAGTCAAATGGGATGGAAAAAGAGTAGGATCCACCAGCTCTGCAGGCTGAACTGGCCAAAACCACTTCCCCATAGCCTGCGTGCTCCAGACAGCCCAAATTGAGTGCTTGGGGGTTCCATGCCAACACCCACCTTGGCCAGCCGTGCTCGCTTGATGAGATCATTCAGCTTCCGCAGGGCTGCATTGCGGGGCAGGCTCTGGATGTCCCTAAACAGGTCCTGCTCCTCTGCCTCAAACAACTTGCGGTTGTCAGGGATGAGCAATGGATGGGACCAGAAGGAGCCAATGTAGACCCTGATGACCTCGGGAGTGTTGACGATCTTTCCCAGGGACCACATGAGGGCACCGTACACCCGCATCAGCTGCTGAGTCTCTATCTGGTCGGCCTTGTTGAGAACAACTCTCATCTTGTCCTCATGGTTCTTTAGGGCCTTGATGACCTCAGAGAATTCATCAGAGATGTCCAGCTTGTGCGCATCAAAAAGGAGAATGATGCGGTCAACCCGCTCTGCAAACCACTCCAGTACAGCAGCGAAGTCGTAACCTGCAAGGGGTGGAGGAAGAGAAGAGATGCAACATACACGGGACTAGAGAAGCCTACTTGCTGTACCTGAATTATACCTGTGCCTAACAGAGGGTAAGCTTGAAGAGGAAGTTTTCCCAGTAGACCAGCTTGATAACAGGAACACGAAACATTGTTTCCTGTCCCAAAGAAGGTGGAGATGAGGCCCTGTCCTTCACACTGAAACACTCATGAAGCGCACAGCTAAGGGTAGCTCTCATCTTTTAAGAGATCACCTGAAGAAGTCTTGAACTTGTGCTCCAGATCTTTCATTCAAATGCATATCATGAGGCAACTGCTACATCAAAGAGCTATTGCAGAAGTCTTCTATGTGGCAACAAGAAAGGTCTGCTTTGTGTGTGACTGGCCACCAGCATGGCCTACGAGGGCTGTAGAAAGCTGGATAATTGCAATACTTGCACCCAGACTGGTTTGAGATGCGTATCTCTACCACTGAATAATTCTCAGCTCTTGTCTAGTTGTGTGAGACTAACGTTGTTGCATCCAATTCAAAACCCGGGATGCAAATAACCTGCCTTACCAGAATAATCATCCTGTCATACCTGCTGCATGTGCACAAACCCAAATGATTTGTGTTCACTTAGCAAAGTGCTTGAAGCTTAGCAGAACATGAGAGGTGGACTAAAGACAGGAACAGTGGGTTCAAATTTCACATGCCTCAAGACTAAGGATAATGGATGTACAGTGTCCATTCTCTAGGCAATAGAGGGCATGATAAATAGAGTGTGTGGAGATGTGTCCTTAAAACAGTAGTAATGACAGCAACCAAACGACCTTCTTTCCTAGTTCTGTGGTGTTTTTTTCACCTTCTTTAAAGCCTCGGTGAGAGACTGGCTCATTCTCTCCCTCTGCTCTGTCAGGCTCTCCTATGCTGTGCAACATTTGGGGTTATCTCTGTTGCCAGAGTGCTGCACTCTGTTAAGGAAAATCAGGACAGAGCAAATGCTACTTGCATTTGAATCCTTTAAAATAACTATTTTAATCTTGGCTTTCATGAATAAATGTATGATAATTAGTTCAGTGCTTTTTCCTCCCCCTACCCTTTCTTTTTCCTTCATTTTTCTTTCTGTCCCCTCCAAAACCTAGAGGGCAACCAGCGCATCCCAGTCATTAGATTGGAACTACAGAAGGGAGGACAGCTGAGCTCTGATCTTGCTTTTTGCCACTGGCCTTTTCTCCCTTCTGACTAAGCAAACTGAGGTGCAATCCTGGCTGCCAAGTCAAGAGTAAAGCCTGTGTGAACTTTCTCTTTGGCTGATATTAACTTTTGCCACTGAGAACAAATGCAAAGATTATTTCTGGCAGTGTTCTGCTTTGGTCAATTACTGTTTGTTCCTTACAAGAAAAGGGTAGTGGGGTGTGGGTGTGTGCCCTGCTGTCTTCCAGAGGATCTACAGAAATCATAGATGGAAGAGATAGATGTTTGTCCCACCAGTGTCCTCTGCTCATTTAAGACACCAGTGCCTTCTCTAGCAGCAGTAAGCAGTGCTGGGCCCTGGCTCTTTGCTCAGTTACGTTTGATGCTGAGAGCTTCAGAGGATTCAAAATTAGCATTACCTTTGACAAAGACCTGCTGAGCATTCAATATATTATATTGATAGCTCTGTATCTTGTCCAGTCCACGTGTCTGACCTCAATAACAGTCACGAGTCAGACTCTTAAACTGAAATAAACTTGGTCCTGTTTGCTTTCAGATATTAACAGCCTTTTTTAACACTTGGGTTAACCTCAGCTTTTTAACCTTAGGTGTTCTTGCTGTAGGGAGCTGACCTCCACCTCACCATTTGCATATCTGCTGCAAAGCTAAGCGTGCTGACTCCTTCCCAACCTGTGCTAGGAGGGACTGGCAGCAGGATGAAGATGCCTCATTTCACTTGGATGGGGTTCAGACTGTAAGCTGTCCCTCTGCAAGCAGATCAATGAATTTGCAAACAAGGACCTCCCACGCCCCCTCAAACTTTGCTAAACACACACTTAATGCTCAGGTCTGCTGGGGCTGTACTGGAAGTCATCTGGCATGGCAAGACAGTTTATTCCTCATACACAGAGCAACACAGCTTGCTTTTTTATCATGAAAGCAATGAGTCAGGGTGACTTTGTTTGGAGATGTTTCTGCATATAATCTTGTCAAATCTCACTGACTGGGATGTTTTCTTGTCAAACTGGCACACGTTTGAATTGTACCTCGGCTACTTTCTTGGGAGAACCAAGAGGGGAAAGAGAATCATGCTCTCTAGGATACCTTGGAATGCTAGTGATGTCCTGTCAGATCACGTAAATGTTTTCCCTCTGACAGTAGAGGAACAGTCTCTATTAGGCTCACTTAGGGGCTGGGATGAGGCAGGGAAACTGTCTGCAACTGACATTCAGCCCACCTTTTAGTGATTCAGTAAAAGTGGGAACTCATTATTTAAAAGAAGAGGAGGCTGTAGAAAGAGTGGTACGGTAGTTTTGGTATTAACTGAGGACTTGGGAGATTGATCTTAGCCCTTTGATCTGCCGGGTCTCAAGGTTTTTCCAAAAGTAGCTTTAGGTATTTAGCTCTGATGATTTTTATCTTGTATCAAGCCTGCATCCACAGTAACACTTAGAAGGTATCTATTCTGTGAGCCTCTCTTTCCTATTAACAAAAAAAAAATATTTTTCTATGCAGCAAGAAAAGGAAATTAATATCTGCTCAGACCTTTTGTGTATTCCCAGATGCTACAGTAACATAAAGTGAGTCTTGAATGTCCCTGTGGACTTCATTAAATGTCTAGATTGATTAGCAGACTTACTTTCTGAGCTTCTTTCCTTGTTCAGAAATATTCTCCCGACAGCTGTCCTGCATATCTCCATTAATGAGAGAACAAAGCCCTGGGGAGTAACACTTGGTGATGTTTCAGAGCAGTCAACAGCATGGACTCATCTGCATCCCATGCTGGGACAAAAGCCCAGCCCACACACTCCCCTTGTATGTCCCACTTGCCTTGGCACTCAGGGAACGAGTGAGACTGCTTTCCTGTTGGTGCCCAGCAGAGTAAGAAACGTGTCTTTGCGTGCACTTCTAATAATCACAGCTGCATTCTCCTGTATGGAGGTACTTGGCAGGAAAACCAAAGTGTAAGTGTATGTATTTTGTTCTTAAGCAACAGAACACTTCAGAGGAAAAGACAGGAAAATTATCATGAGTGTTGTATTGTTCCTTAACATGTAGCATGACGTGTGGAAAGGGCAGGTGGGACAAGACCTTTGTTTACAAGTACCTACTTGGAGTCACTGACTGGTGGTGTTTTCTCACACAGACAAGTGCCTAGAGAATTGCTACATACATGATACAACAGCAAGGTTGATTCTTTAGTTTTGCTTTCAGTGTATAAAAAGTGTAGATTATTACTAAAGCATTTGGGTAGCAGAGTGACAATGTAAAATTCTAAGGGCAAGCTGGAGGTGCTCAACACCTGAAAACACAGGAGGCTCATTCTGTAACTAAATCTAAGCATTATATCCTCGCTTTAGTTTACTCCCCCTGCCCCTTTTTGATTTCACAGATGCACAGAGCCTGACTCTTCCTTCTGGCAGTTTATTAGTGTGTTTATCAGTTTATGAGCTGATCTTCATCTACAGTCAAATTAGGAGTTTTCATAGTGTCCCTTGCTCATTCCACTGCAAATGCGTTATGTCTCTTTACGCCTCTCTCAGTGTTGTAGGGTGTTGCTAAGGCCTCTCACAAAAGCAGCGAGTTACTATCTCTGACTTGGCAGTGTTTCAGTGATGGGTGAAGCTGTCCACACACACAGCACAGTTTAATTGTGAAGTTACAGGGCATTTGGGAAGCCATCTGCTTGCCAAAGCTGCATAAATGCAAAACTATTATTACGGGGATGTGTCAGATAGAACTGTTAAGGGAAGAATTTTCTGTTCAGTAATTCCTGTCTGTTTGTTGTACTCACATTCCTGTTGAAAAATACGATGCATACTTAAACATTCCCTAACATCACTGATGCAGCTGCTTTCACAACCTCCAAACAAGGTGAACACGAATAGAAAATTAATCCCAACCATACAGTACTAGGAGGACAAGATGAACACGATAACAGATTTATTTCCATCAGACTTTTTTTCATGGGACAGGTTTCCTTCTGACAGCATGAAAAGGACTCAACAGATTTAACACAAAGCTGACGAGTCAGCAGGACTGCCAGTGAGTTCAGCCTACAGAAAAAATGATCTTGCAGACACCCTGCCACCCAGACTCCATAAGGCAGGCTGGCTTACTGAATTCGTGCACCACTGGAATACCTGACAGCACGCATTTCACCAAGATCTGATAGGATTATGCAATTATACTTCTGTCAAGTCAGACCCTGGCATGATACAGTCTTTATGCTGACTGTGGGAAGATGGATGATACCTGACCTAGCACAAAATCTGCCTGGCTGTAACATTTTAAAGCCAATTTAAACCACCACCGAGTGGGCATGCATTGGTTCAGCATTTCTCACCATGTAGCTACACTGCTTATTGGTTTAGGTTTGTTTTGTTTGTTTGTGCTGGTTTTTTGTCTGGTAGCATGCACACTATTGCTTTTCCTGTTTTGTGAAACCATGGCCACAGACTCTGTGGTAGTGGAGTTCAGGTGGGATCACATGGGAACAGCAAGATCAAGAAATGCTGAAAAACACAAAGCTGCTGCTTTGCACCAGATATCTCACAGCTTGCTGTCACTCCTGCTGTAAATTGTGCTGTTGCTTTTAGCAATTCACCTCTTTCCTGCTAATTTGAGTCACTGGGAGCTTCCTTTTCATCTTTCTAAAGCTGATATTATCCAGGGATTGAAGATTTACCAGACTGTGCCACTCTATAGGGCAGAGTTTTATAGCTGTGTCCCTATCTGTCAACTGACAGACTGGCTCTGTGCATCTGAGGACAACATCAGAAGATGGGATAGTTGACACAGTAAACACTGACTATCCTCGAGA